TTTATACAAATGTTTACAAGAAGAATGTAGGATAATAATTTCAGTCCAAACTCAAATCTTCCTGTTCATCCTTTTTGTCCTTTGATTCCCTGTTTCCTTCCTGTCAACAAGTTTTGCAACCCACTATCCTAATCCTGTAACCTTGCATTTCCCATGACTAATCCTCCTAGCCTGCACATCCCTGCGCACTGTGGGGCAATTTAGCATGGCCAGTCCATCCTAACCTGCACACCTTTGGACTGTGGGAGGAATCCGGAGCACCTGAGGAAATCAACCCAGACATGGGGAGAATGTGCAAACTTCTCTCTCTCTCTTTCTCTCTCACACACACACTCTCTCTCTGTCTCTCACGCGCACACACACACACACACACACAGACGGGTACCTACCGTAAATTGATGCTCAACCAACTCTGCCCACTCCAAGGCATTATTTCGAAGAAGAACAGGGGAGTTGATCTGGCTAATCCCTATCTATCGACTAACATCACTAAAATCAGATTATCTGGCCATCATCTAATTGCTGTTTGTAAGATCTTGCTGCACATAAGTTATCTGCAGCTTATCCTAACATTACAGCAGTGACTACATTTCAGAGGTGATGTACTGGTTGTAATGCGTCTTTGGGTATGAATGAAATTGCTATCTAAAAGAAATTTATTTCGTTCAATGAAATGAAAATTGGCTTCTATAAAGACAAGTGGATAAATGTAGGTACAAGAGTTGATCATTCAGCCCTTGAACCTGCTTCACCATTCATTGAGATCATGGCTGATCTGCAAGCTGACTCCATCAGCCAGCCTATGCCCCATATCCTTTAACATTTTTGGTTAATAAAACAAAATCCATCAATCGCAGCTATAAAGGTGATCATTGGTCTAGTAATCAATTGTTACTTATGAAGAGTTCCAAAATTCTACCCCCTTGTGTGTGTAGCAGTTTTCCTGATTTCACTCCTGATATTTAGCTGCAATTTTTACAGAACGCTGCCTAGACCTGAACTCCTCAGTCAGTAGAAATAATTCATTGCTATCTACTCTATCAGTTCCCATTCACTTCTTCAAACCATTAGTTTATCTGGGTTACTGGTTGATGAGTTTCAATTCTGCCCCATTATGTCAAAATTATCTTTATAGCCTATTCAATGCTAAAGGGACCAGCTTAGTTCTGTTGGTCTTACTCTTGCTTGGGTCTCATGTCTCCATTCAGAATCTCTGCTGATGCTTCAGGATTACACTGAGCGAGTGCTGTAATTTCAGAGATGATGCATATCGAGTGAAGCATAGGAAGAAGGCTTCATGTGCCCTCTCAGGTGGATTTAAAAGATCCCAGGGCGCTATTTGGAAAGATTAGTTCAGCAGATCCCAGAATCCTCGTCCAACTTTTGATTCCTCAACTGACATGATCAGTAGACAAATGAATCACCCAATCCTTTCACTTCCCATCTGTGAAATCTTGCTGCACAGAAAATAGCTGCACATCAAAGCAGAAATACAGGAATAGGTAACCAGCCAAAACTCAGTGTCCCAGCAATGGAGGGTCAAGGCTTGTGCCCTAATCTGACAATGAAGGCAGAAAATAGCAGCCATTACATTATCTTGCTGTGTACACTGTCCTACTTCTTAAAAAGTTCATCCTCTGCTGTAGGTAGCACTGGTAAGGCTTTCATTTCTGATTGCCCTGGGAGGCTGTTGACTGGCTGCCTTCTTGAACAATGGTAGAACAGTTACAGTTACAACATTTAAAAAGACATTTGGACAGGTACATGAATAGGAAAGATTTAGAGGGATGTGGGCCAAATGCAGGGAAATGGGACTAGTTTAGTTTGGGAAACTTGGTCAGTATGGACAAGTTGGACTGAAGGGTCTGTGTACATGCTGTATGACCCTATAACTTGGAGTGCACTCTTATTGTGTGACTGCAGTGATACGTAGATAACAACAGCAAATTTCCTTTGCTAAGAGAAAGTAATGAAACAAACCAATCACTTGTTTCCAAGCAACAAGAACAATAATCAGCCTTTATATTAGACACCCTAATACTAGAACAAGTCCCAAGGAGCTTTGCAGGAGAATTATCAGACACAGTTTGATGCTTATGACTTATACAGGTATTAGTTTTGGTAAAAGGTTATTGACCTAAAACATTAACTCCACATCTGTCTCCACAGATGCAGCTTGACTAGTTAAGTGTTTCAGCATTTCCTGGAGGAGTTATTAGGACTGGTGAACACAATTGTCTTCAAGCAGGTAGGTTCCTTTAATTGTCTTAAAGGAGGAGAACGATTTGGAGAGGAGGAGAGGTTTAGGGAGACATGACCGAAGCTTGGGGCCTAACATCAGCTAATGCTCAGATTTAAACCAGAACCAAAATCTAATTTTCAGATCACAATTTCATCGACTGACTTGGACTCAAGATGTACTTTGAAATATGACTGTGTGTGAGATATGGGACATGTTTCTTCTCTTCTGCCCAGTTCTCTAGCATAGTACACTGCATGCCTCTACAAGTAGCTGTTGTTAGATAGTAGCTTAAGAGTTCTCTTGGCAAAACAACCAGAGCACTTGTTATTTCCTCATTTCTTTTTCCAATGGAGTTGACATTGCATAATCTTAAAATCCATGGGCTGCTACAAGACATTTTCATCACCATCAAAGTCAAACATTCAAATATTATAACTTATTTGAGAAGTTGTTTGTTCAGATGATGATTTTAAACTGACCAGAATAGACAGCTCAGCATCAGAAATAAAACAAGAGTTTTCTCAAACTTGTTTCAGCAATGCCTGCAACTGATCCCTTCCACTATTTTTGATTCACACTCGATTAACTTTATTTTAATTGAAAAGATGAAAACATTCCACACTATGACATAGGGAGAGAGTGTGCAGCACTGAATTTGTTTTTAAGACCCTTGTGTTGAAAGTTTTTAGGAAAGAAAAGGAATAAATTATTGTAAAGATTCAAGTTAAATAGTTTAGATAATGTAATGCTAGAAAGTGACCCCTTGCAAACAAAGTATAACATATTTCATATTCCCCCTGTATGGTTAGGCAGCATGGTCAAGCTGTCGCTTATTTATGGCAACTGTTGTCCACTTCTTTCTGTCTCATTTATCACTCTAGCAATTTATACAACAATGTAGGTATCCATCACCAACTGCATATCCCCTGCCCATGCCACACAACAGAATTCAGTGCAGGACTGAAGGCATGTTGTACAGTCAGATGTGCAGTGTAGAAATGAAATATTAAACCTTTTGCCCACTCAGATGATTTCAGAGGACAGCAGTGAAGTTCTCCCTGGCATCATGACCAATATTTAACCCTCATACAACATCACAAAAGCAGATAACCTGACCTTTGTAACATTGCTGAATATGAGACCTTGCTTTGTGCACATTGGCTGTTGTGTTTGGGTGTAAACTTTAAGTGTGCTTCATTGATTGTGAATTGTCCTCAACTTCATGTATGAACTTTCACGTGCTAAGTTCTATTTTATCCTTTCTGAAATGCAAAATGCGCTCAATTTTTAAATATCAACACCTTCCCAAGAGAGCAAGCTCCATTGTCATGACCTATGTTACTTTCTAACAAATGTGTGTGCCTATTATAGCTATGATTTCTTGAAACAGCACAAAGAAATTGGATAGGACTATGCATTTATTATACCGTACAGTATATTATAGTGTCAGGCTGGCATGTGACATCCAGTCAAAGAACAGAATTTGTTTTGAGGTTTCAATTTTCACAGAGACTATGAAACTCAAATTGCATACAACTTACTTCAGAAATCTGGAAAAAAATTCAAAGTTGTGTGACTCTCTTGGTATTACCTCAAGTGTGTAGAGTTACTTAGTGTTTGTCAAACCATCTTTTCCTTTGCAGAATAAGTATAATTTGATTACTTAATGACAATTTAAGTTAGTTCATAAGGACAAATGTAATGCGGCAACTGAAAATTGCTTGGATAAAATCTCCTCACAATATTCCCATATTATTTTTTGCTTAAACAAATCATACTAATTTACTTTCCTCTCAGATGGGGCCGTGGTCTCGGCTAACATTCTCTTCATGTTTATTCCGCACACCTGTGTTATTAGCTTCACCATGCCAGCATTCTCCCAGCAATGCAGTACCTTTTTAATGCAAAATTCATAGGCTCACCTATTTTAAAACTTGAAGTGAAAGCAGGAGCTAGAGAATACACAATCTAAATACACAGATAACCAAGCTGTTTTATTCATGACCTACAAATATTCAAAGGGGTAGTTAAAATGCTAATCCTAATGACTATTTATCCTTCTCAATAAGCTAAAAACAACTGATAAGAGACTTGTTTGTACAGATAGTGGAGGAATTCCATCACACAGTAAAAGAAAAATGTCTCTTCACTGAAACAGGTTCTGGTTTACTTCTCTCCATGTTTTCCGCAATAAGGCTTTTGCAGGCACTTTTTTTAAAATTTATAAACAGCTCCTTTCTGCTTAAAAGAACTGGCTTACGTTTAGCACTTATTCTCGATCTAGGTGAGACATCAGAGGAAGCTGGCAACGTGGGCTACATTGCCAGGTAATGTCTTAAATCCCCTCCAAAATGGGGCAGAGGAATGATCAGAAAGCTTTAACAGGTCATCAGTACTAGACTGCAGTAGGGAAATGCCTGATTACGAATAGTAAAGCAAATAGCTGTGCTGTGGCTTGCTGAATCCCACTCAGGTCCACAGCTGTTATTGGGAGCATGGGGCTTGCTGGAAACTGAGACTGCTGAGAGAAATGAGAGCTTGCTGCAAAATCCCCCTCTCCCTTTAATGGTGCGGCGAGATTGTATTTCATTTCCTTCATTGCCCCTGACCTTGCAGTCCTTGGGATCGGCGATCCTTTCTTCCCTGCTCCTGCCTTTGTGTCTGCTTGTCAGTTATCAAACAAACAAATGGAAGCTGACACACAAACTAAAAGCTGAAGATCTCCAAATTAAAAAAAATCAATGCATAACCCTAGAGCTAATTCTCTGTGTAATTTCAATTCCTTCATTTATTAAAGCTTTACTTCCTTAGCACATTAGAAGCTCAGTTTCACTGCACACGTTACATGTGATATTTTCCTTTAAAATTAAAAACACACAATTAAAACTCATGCACACACACCAGGAAGGTGAAAACACTGTACCTGTTCCACCGTACCACTATCACTTTACTGGATTCTCACAAAAATACTTCAAACCTAAAAGAGGAAAAAACTACATAAGGATAAAACTGATCATGTAAATTCTCCATTGCTTAAATTAAAATAAAAATCACATAATGAACACAGACGGCAGCATTACAAACCTGACTGCACACTTCAAAGGTAACAGAAGGCAAGTACTGCATTGGTAATTTTTTTTTCTTTATCAAACTAATATTGTCAGCCATGTTGGAGAGGCTTTGACTAATTTTCTACAAACCCCCACCTTTTCCCCTCTTTAATGAGATCATGCAAAGTAAATTTTCACACATTCTGGCTTCAAAGAAAACAGCCAAATAAGAAGCGTAAGGTCTTACTGGTACATAAAAATAGCTCCAGCCTCTGTATCTCCCTCAGCGTCGCAGAAATCCAGCAAAGTACAATCTGTCTCCTTTCAAACAAATCCTAAAGGGCAGCCATCTTGCTTCCTTCTGCTCCTCTACGAAAGCAGACTAGCTTTCGCATCAATATTCATATGACAGTCTGACATCTATTATCATCACCAATGAAACCCCAATGTTGCTTTTGCCCAGCTCAAAGTGTGGACGTGACTAGCATGTGCTCCATCCAGTGAGGACTCTGTCAGGAAGATCAGTTTGCTTGTTTGGGTAGTTGTAAATCATTTCCCTACTAGGTCCTTAAACACAAAGGACCTATGATTTCTAACTGCACAATAGTGAACATTAGTGAGGTTGGTTTGAAACTCTGGACTGGAGCATACTGAGCAAGGACTGCTCCCTCCCCCTCTACGGCTACGTAAATGAAACCCGTGTGACTACTCAGTCACCCACCCACCAAGCCTCTCGGATTGATTTTTAAAATTGTGTCTTAGGAAACTGACTCTCAGTTTTCTGAGAAGTTCCTGTTTCTTTCCCTGTGATGCTTTTACCACTTCCTTTCTTACATCATATGTACTGCTTCTAATACTCCTTCTTTAATTTCCAGAGGGACTATTGCTTGAACTCACTGGTAAAAGGCATGTGTCAGTATTGTGCTAAAACCACATTCAGTCCTAAAACGCACTGAGAGTCAGCAATTTTTTCCATTCATGTCAAGACCCACCTCCCCTGCTGCCCTCACCCCAGCAGCACACACACACACTCACACACACACTGGTACAGCCCACGTGGATTCTGTGATTAAATCAAACGTGTACACACATTCCCCAAGCACTAGGTATCGAGTTTCTGCCAACAGCATTCCTCCCACTTTGCATCTTGAAGATTAAGGCTTCCATTTCTCTGAAAGAGGATTTTTGTGTTTCAGTTTTAAACAAGTCAGTGGGTGTGTTTTCCTGTTTGAGAGAACACTCCTGTTGTAAGTACATTATTGCCAAACTTTTCGCTTGTTCCTGCCTTTTAGACTTCTCTGGCTTTAACAGAACAGGTGGTTTGTATTGGGTTATGATCTACTCAGTCCCAGCCTTAGCCCTAGCCAAGCTTTAAACCATGACTGGCCCCCTCGTTGTTACTTATCCTTCCAAGCTACTAATGTGACATTTGTTGACTCTGAATGGTGTGCACTACCCCCACCAGGCAACTGCAGAGAGGGAGTGCTCCAAGCAAAATGGAGATTGTGTCAATGTAGAGTGGGGGATGGGAAATGTTTTCTAATTCACTGAAACTCTCTTCTGCTTTTTTTTTCAGAGTTTTACATTGTTGAGAGCTTATCTATAAGGCCAGAGGCACACTATTCTGAGTCAGTTTAAGAAGGAACAACGTAGAAAACAGATGTCTTTGACTTATAAGCAACTTCCCCCTGCAAGATTTCTTTTACAAAGACAGCTGGAGACAACACGGACTCCTTACCCAGAACAGTCCGCAAGAAAGACAAGTTGTAAAACAAGGGTGCAACAACAGTAACATACAAATAGGAAAGAGCATAAGCAACTTCCTTGTGACTGAAGAAAGATAAAAGTTATAATGCTATTATATAAGGGTGACATTTAAAGAAAAACAGTTTATAAGCAGGAATTCAACCAGACGTATCCATATCAGATGATACCTGGCATGACTTTAGATATACATGTAAGCAGTTTAACTGACAGATTAGAATCTTCTAACACTGATTTTAAAACTAATTTTTTCAAATTCATTAAGAGACATTAGTCAGTTTCATCCACCCGCCCCTAAACCCCACAATCCCAGCAATGTGGGACAAAAACTCAGAATGTAGTTGGGACTTCTGAGAAACTGCTTTGTTAATCACTGTCTGTCACACATTCCTACTCCACCACCATGCATTCTCTCCATCCCTTAGCACCCGTCATTTTAGTTTGCACGGGGCTTGAATTAAAAAATTAGTGAGATTAATGCAATCCAGATTGAGGTGATGTTGACAGCATACACCTTAACGCAAGTGTTAAAATCAAATCCACTAATGATTTAGGGGCTGCAAAAAGGCAGGTGCTCCCTTTCTCTTGAACTGAGAGCTGAGACAATGGTGGTAGTGCCTACAATTATTTACTTGCTATACGCTAATGATTTAGTCACAGCAGGAGGTGTGAGAACTCCAGATAATGGTACTGTTTGTCCACAATAATTAACAGAGCAGAACCACAAACTGCATTAATGGCAATCAAACTGTCCTATTAAGTAAACATTTTTATAAAGTTTGACATTTTTTCTGAAGAACAAACTACCATTCTTATTTTTTTGTCTCATAATCACATCTAGAAACAATGTTTTGAAAGCTGGCATAGTTACAGCATGTTGCAGTAATAGTATGACAGAATTATGGAATACAGAGTTACAGTATGAGAGTTTATGATATTGTTACAGTACAACTGAGGTACAGTGTGATAGAGTTACGGCATGGCATTGATACAGTGAAACAGATTGCAATGTGACAGTTACAGACTAACAGCGTTACAGAATGGCTGTTTCATTGTGATAGATTACAACCTTAATCAGGTTACAGTGAGACATATTTACAAGGAGACAGAGTTTCAGTATGATAGAGCAAAAAATTGATATAGCATAATTGATTTGGAGTGTGGTAGCTTTACAGCATGACAGATTAGCAACATGACAGAATTAAAATATGACAAAATTACAGTATGACAGTGTTACAATGTGTCAAAGACACAGCAGGAAGGACTTAATTGAGCTACCATTATGTTAAGGTGACATTAACAGCATAACAGTATTATAGAGTAGCAGAACTAATGTGTGTTAATGTAACTGAACAACAGTTATAATGTGATAGTAGTACGAAAGCTAAAATGCAGCAGTGTTAACAATATGGTAGAGTTACGTTATGACAAAGTTACAATATGACATTGAGGGATGAAACCGTTATACTATAAGTGTTAGAGTCTGACAAGATTAGAGAGTAACAGGATGCTGTGTTACAGTATGACAGTGTTACAGCATGACAAATTTGCAGTGTGACAGAGTAATGGCATAACAGATTGATAACATGGCAGGATAATGTTATGCCAAATTAACAGCATAACAAAGGTATAGTACAACAAAACTAAAGTTACATTATTACAAATTTGCAGTATAACATCATTTCAGTATGACAGATTTACAGTATGTTGTATCACAGAATGTCACCATTAAAGCATGGTAAGTCCACAGTTTGAGACACAACATTGCAGTATGGCAGTTACAAACTTGCAAAGTTAGACATGACAGAGTTATTGTGTAATGACATTATCAAATTACAGTTGCAGCATGACTGTATTACAATGTGGAAAAGTTACAATGTGGCAAACTTAGCATGTAACAAAGCGACAGTGGGGGTTACAGTGTGACAGAGCCATTGGATAGTTGAGTTACAATGTCACCAATTATGGTACAACAGTGTTACAGAAAGACAGAGTTACTGTGTTGTAAAATTATGGTATAACATTACAATGTGAGGGAGTTACAGTATGACAATTTAAAGCATGACAGCATTAAAGTATGACTGAGTTACAATGAAACAGAATTACAGTCTAACAGCCTAGGGTATGACAGGAGGATATTGTGACAAGCTTGAAGAATTAGAGTGCAAAAGTTACACTGTGAGAGAATTGCATTATGACAGTTACAGTTTGGAAAAGATGTAGATTGCCACTTTAGCAGTTTGATTGAGATACAATGTGATAAAGTTACAGTATGTTAGAATTACAATGTTGCAGAGTTACAGTGGGACAGGATTACTGTGTAGTAGAATTAGAGTAGAATTACAGATTTCCTGATTTACAGTGTGATGATGATACAGTATGGCAAATATAAAGTGTAACAGAGTAAAGTATGACAGAGTTACAGTGGCACAGAGGTACAGTGTGACAGAGTTAATGCATAACATTGTTAAGATCTGACAAACCAACAGTATATATAACTGAGGTGCAGTTTGATAGATTTGAGAGAGTTACAGTATGACAGAAATCAAGTGTGACAGAGTTACACAGTAGAAGTTATAGAATTATTGAATTATAGTATTACAATGTAACAGTGTGATAGAATTAAATCCTGACAGAGTTACGGTATAACTGAGTTACAGCTTGAAAGAGCTACAGTATGACTGCTTTGCCAGAGTTATAGTGTAATTGAGTTATAAAGTTAAACTTACAGTACAGCAGAGTTATAGTGTAAGAGAGTTACAGTGTGACAGAGCTACAGTGAAACAGGGTCACAATATGACAATTATAGCATGACTGAGTCATTATGTGACAGACTTGATAGAGTTACAGTGTGCCAGACTTACACTATGACATTGAGACCGTTATAGTAATACAGATTAACATCAGAAGACATAACAGCAAAACAGAATTGCAGCCAGAAAGAGTCTCCGTTGGACAGAATTACACCATGACAGAACTGCAGTGTGGACATGTTACAGTGTGACAGAGTTATAGTGTCACAGATTTAAAGTGCAAAAGATTTACAACCATGATATCTGTACAATGTAACAGTTACAGTACAGAGTTTGTAGGAACTGCAGATGCTGGAGAATCTGAGATAACAAGGTGTAGAGCTGGCTGAACACAGCAGGCCAAGCAACATTTTTCTGAAGAAGGGTGTAGGCCCGAAACGTCAGCCTTCCTGCTCCTCTGATGCTGCTTGGCCTGCTGTGTTCATCCAGCTCTTCACCTTGTTATCACAATACAGAGTTAATATGTGAAAGACTGGGCTATTGGACGGGAAGCAGAATGGTGGTATAACAATGTGACAGACTTACAAGAATTACAGAGTGACAGAAGTTGTAGAGTAGGATGCTTTATAGAATGATGCCATGATGTTATGGTGTAGAGATCTGGACACAAACAAGTCAAGATTGTAAATGGCAGACCGTGCCTGTGTTACAGTTGTAGGCTGACAGTGACAGGCTTGGCAGAATGAAGAAATCTAACTGGTTGACAAACAAGTAACTTTGTAACCATTCTGTTAATTAGAAAAGTACTGCGACAATTTGCATTTAGGGTAATGCTGTAGATATGGGAGAATAATATTTGATAGATGTTGTAGAGACTGTCTTTCTTTATTTTTCTGTAGACTGAAATGAGAAGAGAACACGTTTAAAACCAAGGATTGCTATAGGATTGCTACATATTTTGAGAACGAGTAACCTGACACTCATTGTAAGCACTGTTTACACTGCTGTTAGTTTGAGCAGTGTGGTTGTGGACAAACTGGAGCTGAGGGGTTGTGTACCGACGAAGCTTTGATCAAGACTTTCTGCTTGCCAGCAACTCTGTAATTGGTTCTGGGGTAACTGAA